CAGAGGCTGGGGAGCTTCTCAGGAAAGCAGAGCACAGGAGAAGAGCAGCACACTTTGCATGAAGGGGTGAGGCATGAGGTGGCTCAGCGGCTAAGAGCCCTGGCTGCTCTTCTAGAGGAGCTGGGTTCAGTTCCCAGCATCCACATGGTGGCTCACAACTGTCTGCAACTCTGGTTTGACTGGATCCAATGCCCTCTTCTGGCCTCCACAGGCACTGCATCAATATGGTGCACAGGCAAAACACCCATAAGAATGAAGTAAAAAGGAAGCTCCGAGGAGTGGGGCATGCCAAACAGACAAACTGGTTCCTTCAAGCCCTTGTGTAAATGTGAGTGCCCTCGAATGAGATGAGCCTTAGATTCAAAACTTCTGGCCAATCATGAAAGAGACAGCCATAGTCTAGGAAAGTTCCTTTCATTTTGCCGTCAAAGACACTGTTCACAGGTCGGGGTTTGAGACAGGCAATAGCTAACGGCTGTGAGTTTACCTTCCGTTAGCTTGGGCAAGGAAGGGACAGCGAGTTGGAATATTTACTGTTGTCCATTCACCTCTTAGCTCCGTGGTCAATTTAAAGTTCCAAGGCAGAAGATGGCTGGCCAAAGTGTTCTCATTTGTTGGCCGCCTCTTGGAGTATGTGCCTCCTCTCCCGATACTTTGCTGTCTTTGGTCTTGAATGGGGAAGATTACCAGTTCTGCAGGACATTCCTTAAATGATTAACACGTCTCCGTACAGAGATGAGCAGGAATTTGACTCTAAGGTTTTGATTACATTGTGTTTATTTTGCGGTATACTCGTGTTCACTCACGCGTGTGGCATTGTCGTGCACATGTGGAGGTCAGAGGACTTGTTTGCAATCAATTCTTCCACGAGGGCTGGAAAGATCAAACTCGGGCCATCGGGCTTGGTGGCAGGTGTGATTCCTTGTTGAGCCATCCTGGCCCCAGACTGAAAATTTGAAGTCCCAAAAGGAGGCACATAAAATAAAAGTGGAGATGCCAGGCTTTTATCCTCCTCCTAGTCACCCAGCAGGCCCAGGGAAGAGCTAATGCTGTCACTAACGCAGGAGGCTCTCAGCCAATAGTGTCCTCCAAAAACTATTGGTAGGACCGAACTGTGAAATCTCAATAAGGATGAGGTTCTGAGGGTTGGGGCTGAAGGTCAAGAAAGAATAGTGACACCCAGCCTGCTACGTGGTCATGTGACTCATCCATCCTTATTCCACAAGCACTTTAGTCTGGGTTCCTTAAGTGCTGTGGATTCACTTCCTATGACAATCCTTTTATTATTGTGTTTTAGAGAAGGGGTGCACACGCACACACACACACACACACACACACACACACACACACGCACACCTGCTTGCCTAATCCAGTGCGTGGAGGTCTTAGGACAACTTCAGGAAGTCAGTTCTCTCCTTCCACCAGGTAGGTTCCAGGGACAGAATCAAGTCACCGTGTTGCCAGCACTGAGCTCACCAATCTCACCCACCCCATGAACATTCTTTGCATTCTCTTATTCCAGTAAAAGGCTTAGGAGGTCTCACAGTAGGAGGTCTGTATTATTCAGGGGTCAGAAGGCACCCAAGGCTTCTCTCAAGCAGTCAGACACCAACCAAAGCCAAACGGCGGGAGGCAGGTGTGTTTATTTTGGAGGGACAGATGAAAGAGAAATCTTTCAAAGACCGAAAAACAACCAGCTCACTTCCAAACCTTAACCACCTAAGGCAGACAGAAGTGGGCGCGGCCGTTCCTGTTATTGTCTCCGCTCTGCGGGAAGGGGTGAGAAAGCCTGACCTGGCCTGTCGCCTTTCTTAGCAAAGTGAGAGCTTTCTGGAGGAGGTCTCTGAAGTGTGCTTGACCATCAGAGGTGAAGCAGGGGCTGGGTAATGGAAGGAGGGCCTCAACACTGGAAAATTCTTCCTCCCTTAGAGAAAGTCTTCCCCAATGTCACTTGGCTGGGTGCCAAGCTCCCGTGTGGCAATTTGAGAACGAAGGAATACCAACACCCACCTCATTATGAAATTCTCTTTGATTCCAACTAGGTCCAGGTTTGAAGTCTGGATTCCCTTTTGGATTCTGTGGGCTGGAGGGGGTTTGCAGAGTTTTCTAGAACCCACTGTAAGTGAGAACAGCACACATAGGTGTCTGCCCCCCACACCCCCGGCCCCTCATGTTATGGCACCGTGGGAACAGCACAGAAGGAAAGAATGAGTCTCTTGCGAGGGGCTAGCAGAGCTCCTGTGAAGCGAGAGTGAGGCTGAATTGTGTTAAGTGTGGTGGAAGGAAAATATTATGACAAAGGGGAAGATTTCAGCTACGAAGGCATCCAACGCGGCTTTTTTTTCTCTCTCTGCAGAATAAATATGCAATAGCCTTGGGCTTCTCAAATTAAGGGCTCTCCAGTCCATTCTTCACACTGCAATTGGCAAACTCCCCATTAGGCAAACCTTTGTTTAAAACTCACCAGCGGCTACCCACTGCGTGACCGGTGCTCACGCTCAAGCACTGCGTCCCCACTGCGTGTGTCCCCTCCCTCAGCCTGCTGTGCTCAATCATCTCTGGGCCTAGGCACATGCTGTTCCCTGTGTCCGGATCAACTTCTGTCTAGACAGTCAGGTCCCGAGGCGAGGCACCTCCCCGCCACCTGGTATTGTCCCAACCAGCCAACTCTGTTGTAATCACTTCATGAACTACTTGTTTCTGTTGTCATTGTGGTGGCCGGGTCCATATCTGTCTCGTTTGTTTCAGGTTCCCCAGAGCCTAGTACAGCTCCTGGCACAAACTAGGAAGAGGAAATGGACTCCTCAAGTTAGGCTTTGTCAAGCTGAAGGATCTCTGTGTTGCCTTGAAACTCTGGGACAGACTGAGGAGTAGAGACGGAGGAACAGAACAGGGATAGAATGTGAAAAGCTGCCTGAGGAGCGTGGCCGTACCCCTCCTCCTTTTCCCTGCAGCTTCCCCAGCTCCTGAGCTGACTAGCAAGATGCACAGATTTTTTTTTTTTTCTGCTGACCACAGAAGAAGAGACGATAAAACTCAGCTTCCCATCTGGCTCTTCATGGTCCAAAAAAATGCAGCAGTTTCAAACTCCAGGGAGACAGGCACTCAAATCTTGAAAGCTTCAACCTAGCCTGTCGTAGCATCCCCTAGAGAATAGCATGGATTTGACTGAGGAGGAAAGTGAAGGAAGCAACCATTTCCAAGGATTGACTCCCCAGAGACCCTCAAAGGGTGTGCTTTTGATGTCTCCCATGGCCTGTCTCCCTCTCTGGCCTTCAGAGCCAACCTGCTCAATTCAACAGCTGGGCCTTGCTTCTCTTTCTTTCTACTTGAGCCAACAGGCTCCTGGTCACAGGGACCCATCAGCAGTTTGCCTCACAGGCTGAGCTGAGAGTGGAAGCCACCCTTCCAAGGGGAGTGCTTTAACATCTGTCCCCATCCACTGTCCAAAACCTGGCTGCTTCTTCATTGCGCTGATGATGTGTTTGCTTTTTAATGTTTTCTGTTAGAACCAGAGCTAACAGAGCTGCTGATGAGAGATGCAAAGAAAATCGACTCTCCCTGTATACCTAAAAACAGCATGGGAGGTGCTTGGCAGGCTGGGGAGCATAGCATGGCCATAGGCACACACCTCTCTATCTCAGGCAGGAAAGAAAATAAGGCAAAGGTTCTGAAGAGCCACCCAGAGGCTGGTACCCAAACCAGAGAAGGGAATGTTCAGAAATGTGCTGAAATGCCAGCTCTAGAAAGATGTGACAGCCAGCTTGAAGGCTTCAGGGAGTTTGGATAAACATCTAGACTTTGAGTACATTTCTGAGCCTGCTCTGTGATCCTTTGAAGTTTATCCAACTTGTATAAACCCTCCAGAAAGCCAGGGCCAGTAAAATAGGCTTTCTTTGGAAGTCCCCCTGGATTTGCCCTGTTGTGTCCTCCCAGGGCAGCAGGCCCATCAGGACCAGCGATCTGAGGAGCAGAGAAGAAAGACGCTCGAGACAGCATGTTCCTATAATATTCAATTCATTGTCTTCTTCTTTTCTTCCTGTCCTTTTTACATATGGAGGGCACAGCAGACGGAAAACCCCCAGTGGACTTGGTGGACCACAAGCTTAGATCTAATCATGGCTTGCCTGGGACCCCTTCTCGATGATCTAACCCCAGCTATTTCTGAAGGCCCAGCCTGAGATGGGCATAAACGCACATCTGGGTAACAAAAAGCAGTATTTGAAGTCTAAAAAGTCTCTGCCTGAAGCTGAAAAGCTGATGACAGAGCCTGGCGTGGGCACAGGCTGGGGGTTCCATCCCATTTCCCAGAGGAGTGTCCCCTGGTGCCTCGGCAGGAGCTGAGGCTAGTTTCTTTCCTGTCTGTGCAGGTTTTCTAGTCATGAAATTACTGGTGCATTGAGAATGGTCTGCCAGGCAGTGGTGGTGCACACCTTTAATCCCAGCAGTTAAGAGGCAGAGGCAGGCGGATTTCTGAGTTTGAGGACAGCCTGGTCTACAGAGTGAGTTCCAGGACAGCCAGGGCTACACAGAGAAACCCTGTCTCGAAAAACCAAAGAAGAAGGAGGAGGAGGAGGAAGAGGAGGAGGAGGAGGAGGAGGAGGAGGAGGAGGAGGAGGAGGAGGAGGAGGAAAGGAAAAGAAAAGTGTCTACATGTATCCAAGGGTGTCCACACCTTAGCTCTGGGTGGCATCTCCCCAGGTGCAAGCTAGTTTGGCTTTAGGTCACACAAAGAAGAATGAGGGACCAAATACTGAGTTCATTCAGGAAGCAGATAGGGAACAGCCTTTCTGAGCGGGATGCAGTCTTCAAACCTGCCCTTGGTTGAAAGCTGAGCAAGCGCCTCCTCCCAAAGAGGCGTGCCCTGGGGAGGGTGGTACCTGGAGAGGGACCAAGGCAAATGGATAGCCTATGCATAGCACACCACCTATAGGCTTGCCAAGGCTGTGAGGGACACACCCTTTCATAACCCTGGGACCAAATGACAGAGAAGATGCAGCTGCAGCACCAAGGGAACCCCATGGAGGTGGGGTTACAAATAGTTTTCTTTATTGTTAAAAAAATATTAACAGCAACAACAACAACAAACACAGGAATAGTACAAACATTCACAACCCATCAGAGTCCTGTAAGCTTTGCCCATTTATTCCTAGTAGAGTCCTTCATCTCAGTGGGAGTGGGAGTGTCAACCGAAAGGCCCCTTCATGCTTTTCATGGGTGGGTACTGCTGCTCCATTGGCATGGCCCCAAAGCAGTCTGAGGGGTTGCAGTGGCCTGCCTTCCCTGGCTGGCCCATGGGACCCGGGGGGCCGGGGATCCCAGGAATGCCTTGCTGGCCCATTGGCCCAGTTGCACCCATCTTGCCATAGCCTGGAGGCCCTTGAGGACCTAAAGAGGAAAGAGGAAAGAAGGGAAATCAGGAGACTCAGATGACAGAAGAGACAATGGTTGTGACAAGTGACACCTTCATTCATGCGTGTTTGCCAAGTTGAAGCATGGTTTCGTGAGACATGCCTGCTTCCCACATTGATCTCACAAGGACAGCCACACCTCTGGCTAGATTTACTGAGAGCATCTATGTACCAGGAAAAGGGTCGAGGGCTTCTAATACGTGTGTCATTGCATCCACAAAACAGTTGTCTGAGCCTGTACTATTTCCCAAAAGCCACACATGGGTAATATCCGTGGGGTAAGTAGCAAAGCTGGTCTCAGAGCTAGGTCATTGGGATTTGACCACCCTCAACTTTCTGATGCTGAGGAGTCAGTGACCTCATCACTATCCCAAGGGGATGCCAGTGGGATCCCAAATTGGTGTTCTATCTGATTATGTTGTCATAAAGTAGTGTGTGTGTGTGTGTGTGTGTGTGTGTGTGTGTGTGTGTGTGTGTG